AAAATTCGCATTACTTTAAAATCTTGGTGAATTGTTTGTTTTTGCTTAACAAAACAAAATTATGCAATGTTTATAGTGTTCATAAATTTAAATCCATAATGTAACCAGGCAAAGTTGACAAAATTCCAAATTAATCGAGTTTCTTAACACTTGACAATAACCCATGCACATATTATACGACAATATACGTATATATACAAACCGCATAGTTTTTATTCCACAAAGATTGTGTAGTTGTACAACCGTAATTTTTTTATTTGATTATTTAACAGGGATTGTAATGCATCTTGGTGTGGCAGGAACAGTGAACGATTTATGAGATGACAGATAAATTGTCTGAGAAAAGTCTGTGCATTGTGCATTGTCACCACAAAACCTCCACAAAAGCAGCGGACTGAGCCAGCGGTACTTCTTGTTGATGCTCTTTGTATATTATTCAAACGTTTTGAATTCGGTTTTTTGGTTCCAAACACAAAAGTCACAAAGCAAGCACTCATAACAAGGATAATGAGTAGCATGAGCAGCAATGCAATGGCTTTAATTTCATTACGGAACTCGGGGAAATTTGAAACTGGTTGCATAATTGTTTCAATTTGTGTAATTATAAAAAGAAGTTCAATTATGTAAATTGTGATCTATTGCATTGCAACGCAGTTTTGGGTGTATACTCTAAAGCAGCAGAATTCATTTGTGATTGAGGTGTAAGAACAAATATTTAGTAAGTAAACGCTATTCGTGTTTTGGCTACTTTTGAATCTGTTTAAGCTGATGGTCATATATTTCTTACGAATAATATTAAGTAACACACACAAAGTTTAGTTCTTGGCTGACGATCTGATTTCTTCCCACAGCAAATCTGTCCCATTATAAATTACTTGTTGAAAGTGTTTTGTACCCGCCCTTGAGTACAAGTTGTCATGAAATATGAAGATTTACTTACTCCTAATTGCATTACATTTCTCTCTAAAATGCCCTTACGACATGAAGCTCCTTGAATAAATAAACCCGTATAAATTCCGAATCTGGGAGCAAGGAACACCTTACAACGACTCATTTACCACTTTCTCGTAATGCTTAAACCTGTCAATGTTCATGGCATAAAAATGTCTAAAAAAATCTTTACTGCAATTATTTTCCGTCCACTTTTCACTAATTGTTTCAAAAACTTTTTAAACTTTTAAAGTCCACGCCTGCCTTTGAAATTTACAAGATTGGCCAAACCATCAGTTAAATTGGGTACGTTGAATGTATCGAAGAATGAATGGACAGGGGCAAATTAATGAGTTTGAGATGCAAATTAATTGCTAAATTTCTCCAGATTTGGAGCATTATGTGCCGATTACAGCCCCCGCCATGCCCTCAAAAGAGTGACAATTCAGGTAATGGAATTAGTAAATTAATTTGACGGAGGCAGTAAACAGCTTGAAGACAAGAATCTAAATGCAATCGATCGTACAGGCGATAGGTAAGGGCAAGCACTGAAACGATCGAGTGGTGGCAACTTGCATGAGGCTACGCCTGTGTTAATTCCACTTGTTAATGACTCACTTTACTCCATAAGATGAAAATCTTTACCAGACTCCAGTCATAATTAAGTACTTAAGGAGTGTTCGAAAAAAAACTAGTTCAATAATGCCTTGTTAACGCTAGACGCATACCTGTCGATCTTTCAATAAAAGATTCCAAACCCAAACAAAGTATTTCTTCCTTGCATGCTCACGATCAAGGCATTTGCTTCATAAGCATTTCATTTTTGAGAATTATTTCAGAAAGAGATGGATCCGCACAAAATGCAATTATTTAAGTGGTGACCATTCTGCATTGAAATAATTAAAGTGTAATTAATCGTGCAAGTGAAATCTTATATGAAGTCCTACATTATAATTAATTACAGTGTCATGATGATGCGTAATGATTAATGATTACAAGTAATTTTGCAAAATAAAGCAATTATTGCGAACTGCCTAGAGTTCTGTGCCATTTGTGTGAGAACATGTGGATCAGAACGGCCAAGCAATTTCTCCTTGCTGCTGTTAAATTTAGAAATATATTTAGTTTTTCTTCAGTCACGATAAAAATATGGATCATATCGCACGGTGGAAATAAGCATGTTTAATTTGTCACAACGTTTTTACTCTGAGGTTCCAAACGATGGGCATATTTTGTAATTTTTGTAATTTTGATATTATATTATTTTTTTAATATCGAGCGAAATCTTATGTGAAGCATGTAACCCTCAACTTCTGTACAAAAACTGATCCAAGTAAGTAAGAAGCCGTATTGGAGGAATCCGACCTCAATTTCTTCAACAAATGTTGTTAATTGATAAATGCGATCATAAAGGAAAACCTTTATGGGATTTAGATATAAGAAAAACGCAGCCTTCTTATCGTTCATAAGTCCAACAAAGTTTTACAAGATGTTCCTCATTTTGACACGCAAATTGTCAAAGGAGCCGTTAATGGTGGTAGAGGAAGGACTGCATGTGTAGAATTTACTAGTGATCCAATTTACAAGTGGTTATTTTAAAGCCACAATCATCGACCTTGCGACACGAAGAAGAAGAATCTACAAAACGACTACACATGTACACAGGCTTGCTTTACCTCTAATTTTTATCTTTGGCCAAGCCAACCAGCACTTTATTCCGTACAAGACCGACAACTTCAAAATTCATGACATTTTCTAAATTAAGGGAACCAAGCATGCAAAGAACGGTCCTGCTTCCTTGTCGAGTGCGTCTTTAACAACCTCATTTCTATTTGTAGAATTTTATGAAATGATCTCTCTTAACGGAGAACAAGGTGAACGGAAAATGGGAGAATTTTTCCACTTTTTCTAAGAGATCTTATTCCACAAGCACAGCACATGCTATGTACACTTGCCATGCGTTATATTGATATCACCACGATTGAATCAGATTAAGATGGGCCATATGGTAGAAATTATCCAGTGTGAGTTGTACAAATCTAGAATTCAACTCTCGGACGAAAATGAGACACTTATTATCTAGGAAGCTAGCTCTACATTTATTGAGATGACGAGCGGATTTCTCAGACCTGATTACATAGTAGGCACTCACCAGCTATAAGTCTCATTTTTTGATCCTGTCCAGTATCATCACCATTGCTGCTGCTACCTGCTAATCGTAAATACTATCATGTCATGATTATTACTCTCCGACAAACTGCAATGGTGAGAATTTGTAGCAAAGTAAATTTAGTGTTGCCAACAAGCTCTAAATGAGTTGAAGATGAATTGGCCATATATGCACCACCTTCTGCAAAATTGATGTTTTAAGCATTTTTGGACCCCTAGATAAATTTGGGATGAACTGATATAAATTTCAAATAAAACAAAATTTATAATTTTGTTATTTGAGACCAAGCCTTAATGAGCCGTAAACAAGCTGGACCAAAAATTATGAATTTCAAAATCCTTACAATCCAATTTTTCAATAGGTGGTGGTGACTGATTGCACATAAGGCCAACTCATCTCAACTTATTTAAAGCTTGTTGGCAACAAATTTAACTTGTAGCTTTGTAATTAATGCAACTGTTTCTCAAATAGTTCCGTTAAGCATCGATCGTGATCATAACGAAATTAATGTATTGTTAGAGCAGTGGTTTGATGCCACCTAAGCTTCCTGTCTGAAAATGGTCAATCCTACCAAACAAATTATGGCATGTTGAACTCTGCTACAAATACACATCCTGAAAAAATGCTTTGGGCAAGAAGTCCCGGAAACCGTTTAGAATTATGGCACTCTTGCTTCTCATATTGTTCAATGCATCTCCGCATTGGAATGATTTGTTGAAAAATAAACTAGTTATTGAGGAGAACAATCCATTTACGTAAGGTACATATTTAGTTGAGGCTGTGGTGGGAGAGGATGTTTCAAAAGTCATCGAGTGGAAAAAAGCCAAGTATAATTTTATAAAGGGGCAGAATTTAACACAGTACCACCTGGCCACCTACGAGTCAACCCTTTGTTTGCTCCCACAGATCATTATGACAATATTTATGAGTCAATGGTCGAATTTTTGATGACTTTAGAAACGGGCCTCACCCAATATAGCATATTTCTAACAATGGCGCAGTAACTACCTGGCTCCCTGTCTACCTCCTGCGATATGTTTTATATAAGAGACGAACAATACTCTCCCTTCAAATAGAAATTGTTTGCATTAATGCATTAATTACTGTCTGTTAACACAAAGTCTAATTGGGGTGAATTTTATATTATTCAGAATTTTATATTAGTCACTGGCAAACCAGTAATGCATAGATAATTTTTGATTGACAAATTCTTTACACATTTTGTACGAACTATCAGTACATGAATTATCATGATATAATTTTGGAGTCGATTTTTGTAAATACTCATTTCTTTAGAAAAACATACAAATTTTAATTTTTCTACGCCTTGATCCAGAGGAAGTTGTCTTGTTTCCACTATTACTTGGCAGGGCTTAAAAACAGGCATTAGCACGAGTATACATATGAAATGACGATACAATATGGCAGCTGAAAAAAGTCGTCTAGAGACAAAATCCAGATAAATAATTCATGATGTGCAATAATATTATTGGGTTGACGACGACGCTGCCGGATTGGGGACTGAGCAGTCAAGCAGGCAGGCTCCAACCGAAACTGCTTGAACTTGTGTCATCCACTTTGTATTTTAATTTTCTAACAATAAAATGCAAATGGTTTCCAAATGCATTTCGGTATTACATCAGGTTCCCATGTCATCTCCAAATGTCAATTGTTCCCTTTTTGTTTTTGACATGGTATCATCTCTCCTCCTGTCAATTCCCACTCGTTGGAGCGAGTATTTATTGCCCTATGCATCCCATTATGCGGTAATTTGTATCCTTTGTGATCCTCATTTAAATATGTTGAACGCTTTTTGATATTTTTGATGCCAACATCCGGCAGTTTACGGCGCTCAGCTTCAGTCGTCTTGCATTTCATTTTGTGCAGTATAACGATTCTTATTCCAAACATAAAGCAAACACAATTCATTTATTAATCATTATTATTCAGTTTTACTCTCAAAAAAATAAATTTCATTTCAAATGCCATCCGCTCGTAGGTCCTCGACTCTAAATTTATTCCGATTTGATAATACCGAATAAAAAATAACACATCCGTTCGCCACCTACTATCACCTACACCTTCGTCCATTACTATGTGTTAAGCTGTTATTATGACAGTTAGTGTGTGGGACAGTGGCCGAGAAAGCCGTGGGGACATTGCCATTGAAGGATAGGGAGGGAGGGGTTTGTATAACGTGGGGAGATGATAGGGACATCGAACAACCGTGCGGACTTTGTCCCTTTGTCCCCACCCAAGCTTCTGCAGCCACTGTATTTAATGCAATTAACATGACAAGTGACTGAGCATTGTGATAACAAAAATTGCCGTAATTTAGGGTTATCCAATGTTCCCATCCGGGCGAAAGGGTCGATTTGGAAGATACCCTTGGTCGCAGTTGGTGGACTGAAGTGGAGGGATTACCCCAGAGACTATGTGGCCGAGAGGATGCTCATATGCTGCATTATTGCAGGTAATCATGTAAATTAATAAAGGCTATGAAATATTTAGTTACAATGGAGGTCCCCCAGCGTATGCTCTCCGATTTTGAGCAGCAAATTAGCGTAAATCGATGACAAATTTAATTAGTACGAAGTTTGACACGATCTCTCAATGTGCACGTTTGGCAGAGATATTTGCATCTGAAGAAGAGGAAACGCGTCCTAAAGTTGACAAATTTTACACTTTCGAAATTTACTGCGTGTTTTCTCCTCTTCGGATGCAAATATCTCGGCCACACGTGCCCATTGGGAGATCATGTCCTTTACAAATTTCGTCCTAACTAAATTTGTTATCGATTGACACTAGTTTGCTGAAAATCGAGAGCACACGCTGGGATCCCTCCAATTAGTAGCACCGTAACTTTTCCTAAATTAAGCTATTCAGACTCCATCCGCAAGATTTTCCACGAGAGAAGCGTGTCCTGTACAAGGATTATTTGACCTACTGGTTCCCAATTCGTTGAAAGTGGACTACTTTCTCCTCCTATTTTTATATTGGTTATCTATGAGCTACAAAATCTAAAAACATACCAAAATTCATTTACATTTGTAAGTCTCTTCTACGAGCGAAAATAAATTTCAAAACTTACACGTTTCAGTTTAATAGTAGAACAATTTTGTGATTTATTTCACTCTATTTTTTCATAAAAAAATTGACAATAGAAAAAATTCGATGTAAAGATGTACTAAATAAAAAAGCACCACTAAAAGTTTCAATTAATACATCAGTCTTAAAGAACTGGTCGTCCGTCAATTAATCCAGGGTTAAATCGCCGATCAAGTTCTCCTCCCCTTCGTCATCAACTGGGGGCTGGGTTGCTTGATCGCCCGTTTCTGCCGCCTTGGGTGGTTCCTCTTCCTCACCTGGTGCTCCTTCCAGGCGCAATTGATCAGGAACAGGATAGAGGGAATCCCCCACCTTGACGACACCTTGGACAAAGTGCTTCTCAAAGAACTTTTCCCACTCCCGTGGACTCATGTCGTCACATGCGATACTATCCACGTACTGAATCATGTCCATGTACATGTTTGACTCTTCGGTCTGTAAATGACATGAATTTTTGTACAACTTTAATCATATTACCAGTGAATTAATGTAGGACTCGATGATTCGACACCAAAATCGGCACATTTTTAATCATTTCTCGCCTTTAGGAATTTATTTTAAAATTCTGGACGACAAACTTGTAGTCAATGAGTTTATTAATAGAATGGCGATGAGTTTTCAAGCCAGTTTCGAGCAGTTCAAATTTTTCCGAAGGTTTCTTAAACATGAGATCTTCTCCAAAAAGTGTCAAAGTCTGGAGTGTTTATTTGTTAAAAATTAACAGACTTGCTCTACAAATTCATCGTCCAGAATTTTAAAATAAATTCCCATAGCCGAGAAATGACTAAAAATGTGCTGATTTTGACGTTACGCAAAAATTGATCATTTATTATTCACGTACCACTTTTTTCTCTGCTTCCGTCATTTTCTTAATGATATCATCCAATTCGTCCCGTTCGTTCATTAAGCGGCTAATCGTGGTTTCTATGACTTTTAAGTATTCCTTCTTGTTCTCGGAGTGACGGCTTGCCGCGCCTGTTTTCTGCCGTTCATCTCCTGCCTCGGCCTCCGCTTCGCCCCCGTCCGCGCCAAGGTCGCCAATCTCTTCCTCGTAAATGTCAGGCTCGTCGTCTGCACCAGGCAAAAAATCAGCTCAATGCTTAAAATTCTTATAATTTTGCATAAGTATTCTCTCACCACCTGCCCCATCTGGTTTTTCGGCTTCTTCGCCCTCCTGTTTCGGCAACATCGGTCCGAGCAATTTTGCCACAGCAGCGACGGATTCAGCATCCTTGGTCAAATGCATTTTATTCAAAAGAGCCTGATAGACTCCTACGTTCGTGTGGGACGCGATCAGCTCGGTCGGATCAATTGATTCCGCCAGACTTGTGAGGCGATTGGAGCACGCCTAAACAGAATCAGTAGAATTTTTTATTAGCCTTGATAAGTATATTGACAATATAAAAAAATCACGTAAAAATTAAATTAGTAACATACCGCATTCCAGGCGTTAATAGCAGATTCCTCCTGGATTCCGGAAGACGTGCTGGGTTGCGGTTGCTGTTGCTGTTCAGGAGAAGAATCCATTGTTGACACCCACAAAGATAATGAAACGATCTGGCTGGAGGAGGGAAAAAAAGTCAGATTAGACAATTGTACTTTCACACAGTGGTCGCGGAGGCGTGGGGACAACGTCCCCCCGGTTATTCGATGTCCCCATCATCTCCTCATGTTATACAAACCCTTCCCGCCCCTATTCTACAATGTTAATGTCCCCACCGCTTCCGCGGCCACTGCTCTCACACAGCCACCAAATCAAATTTATAGAAATTCTATAAAAAATATCAAAACTTGGATCAAAATCAAACCACTCAGAGTAAAAAATTGCAATTTTAATGGAACCAAGTATTAATGGAGAAAGATATCATTATTAACCCCTAATCAACCCCATACCTCAATCAAAAACCAATTAAATTTCACCCGAATTATAAAAAAAACGAAACGAAAAAAAAATCTAATCCAACTCCAACCAAAAACCATCAAATTTGAGTAAATGAACAATAAAATAGCTATACAAACCTAAACCTCAAATAAAAAGGATACCTAATGACTCTTTTTATAAAAAAACAAATTTCTAACCTTTCAAAATTTCAAAATTTTATGAAACACTCAAAAGTCTGAGGAGCGAAAGGAAGCACGCAACGCACACTACTACCACGAGGCGAGAAAGAAATGCCAACGGCCACTTTTTTGGTGGCATCATCGTGACTAATCGTGAGACACGGGAGATTCTGGGGTGAAGCGAAATTCCTTTCTGGAAATGTTTTATTCTTATCCACGATAACTTTAGAACGGATTCGAATTTTGACATGCGGTGTTCGCCAAAGTGTTTCTAATTTTTGAAGTACGGGCGATGTAGATCATAAGGTCACAGTGCCACGGGGATGAGACCAACGGTCAAACGTGTCGAATTTTTTGTTTCGACCGTTTTAGACGCAGTTGGGGGAAAGAATTTCAGAAATCGACGTAGTTTTGACATATGATGACCTCGTGACCGTGTCGCTTCACTCCTTTGCTATATCGGTTACCTTGCAACGGTTTATTTACCAATGCTAACTGTACACTTTTCCATATTTTTGTGGGCGAGATTCCAGCAGCATAGTTATTATGACTGATAAGTCAACAAAGGTATCAAACTATAATTCATAGTAATTTTCCACGGGAGAAGCGTTTCTTCCATTTTTGAGCATAACGACAAACAAGACTGTTCAAACCCAAACTTCCGATAACTGTTGCTCCATCAAAATCTAACGTCCTAACAACATAAAAATTTCAACCAGGAGAGAATCATCCGCAATGATGAGAACTATACAATCATTAATTCTTACATATTTAGTACGATACGTTTAGTAGTATATAAAAGTGGAATTTACAAACTTTCGTGATAGCCTTTTGTCTTGGGGCTGTCCAACCTAACGATCGCCTAAATGGGCCAATCAGCATCCGTTTAAAATTGCTCAATCTCGGTTGTGCTGCTTACGTAAAAAGTGATCTCAAAGATTACGCTAAACCGAGAGGAGAGGTTGATTAACTCTCAACTACTCCCAAGTCTCAGGCCTTCCTTCCAAGTTGACTCTCAATAATCGACTTTTCAGCCACATCCCAACCAGTCCTTCTGAATAAATTGTATTGTAGTAAATATTATTATGAAAACAAAAAAGGGGTGAAGAAGGCACGCTAATTGCTCCCAACTTTTTTGTCATAGGTGACATAATCCTTGTGCATACGTAATAACCCTTGTTTCTAATTTCTAATTGTACTATCACTTTCTTCAAATTGAGCCGGACAACCTTTTCATCCCAAGTTATGGCACAGAGGGAACATTGTCATTTTCGAGTACTATACCAATTAAAGGCCTACAAGATTGTCAAAGGACGACAATTTCAGAAACATGAATGACACCAGATAGAAAGAGTAGTTCTGGTGGTGGTGAATGCATCAACTTTGTAAATTGTCTCCTATTCAGCAATAATTAAAATCAGATCTTGTCCTCTGAATGAACGGGTCATGATGAATGAAAGAAAGGTATCTCTAACTGCACGCATAATAGGAGTTTCATTCGACACGCTTTTGTCATCAAATTATCTGACTGATAAAATTTCGATTTGCGATGACTGGCCACTCCACGACTTTTGGTGATGAACAATCAAAGAGGAAATTGTAAGGTAGGTGGTGGTGGTTGCCGGTGGGTTGCAGTTGGGTTGGGCTTCAATGAAAATGAAAACAAATTTACACTCAATTAAAAGTTACTTAATCATCGCAGTCTCAACTCCAGCAACAATTCATAATGGAAAGTCTTTGAAAATTGTTAGTCTTTAATTTCTATGATTTACGATGATGTACAAGTTGCGTATGCATGTTGTGGGGCCGAAAGGCAAAGTGTCATCTGACTTGGCAATAAATAACAAATCTGCTTCAAATGCCCGTAAATTATGATGATGCAGGCATTGACACTTTTATGACCATTCTTGCAACGACTTTGGTTAGGTTGGGTATTGTAGAAAGGAAACGCTAAATTACAATGTGCAGGAATTGCAATAGAATAGATTACAGAAGCTGAATAAAAAATACAATTGCTTAATTCTGGCTTATTTCGAAAAAAAATCTGCGTTTCTCTTTGGTTTTAGACCTTTCCCAAAGTGTCCAAGAGTTTGTAGAACGAATAAATAAATTGCGCGACGACGACGACTCATTATCGCAGCACAGCCAAACATCCAGTCAATCAATTCTCTTATCTAAATTCGTGACCAGATTGTGATCGTGAATGCTCAGTTGTACATGAACTTATTTGTTCTCACTGTAAATAATGGATTGCAGATTGTAAAATCTTTGTGTGGATGGTAATTTTCTCAAATTCGATCCGTGTATCGAAATACTTGAGAGATTGATTTCATTTATTACAACAATATCAAACGAATAGGCTCATGATTTGATTCCAACGTCATCTCCGGCTTTGCATATTATTCACCTTTTTTAAGAGGAAAGCTGCTCCATCTCATTATCCTCATTGTTCACAAAAGCTACTGACTTTAGCAGAGTGTTTAATCACGGATTGAGCCCCAAACAGCATGCACCTTTTTATTTCTTCTTTAACAAATCATAAATAGAAAACATTTCTCGTACCTGATTCTCCTGCACGGACTGTAAAAAAGACGGAGGGATGCAGTAGCCAATTGACTCGGTTTTGTACAACTCATCATCTAATTTCCTGCATTATTCTCTCGCATCCTATCCCCAGTTTTTTTTAATTGTGTAAAAAGAATTTAGTGAATATGTCATTGCAGTGATAATGTTCAGCTAAATGATCACATCTGCACAAGCCCCACGTCATCCTTAGTTCGACTTGTAGTTGAAAAATAGTTTCCGATAATGAAACTGAATCAAATTCGAGTAGGATTGATTCAAACAGATATTTAAGAAGTTAATATTTTAACGCTTTTTGTGCTCCGTGTAACCAATTGAAA